TTAGGGTTTTAGGGTTTAGGCGTTTAGGGGTTTAGGGTTTAGGGTTTTAGAGTTTAGGGGTTTAGGGTTTAGGGTTTTAGAGTTTAGGGGTTTAGGGTTTACGGCTTGAGGGTTTAGGGGTTATGGATTTAGGGTTTAGGGCTTATGAGGTTAGGGGTTTAGGGTTCAGGGGTTTAGGGATTCAGGGTTTAGGTTTTAGGAGTTCAGGGTTTAGGGGTTTAGGGATTTGGGGTTTAGGGTTCAGGCCTGAGGGGTTTAGGGTGTTTAGGGTTGTGGGGTTCTTGAGTATGGAATTCTTGCAGTTCTAGGGCGTTTAGGGTTTGGGTTTGTTGGGTTTAGGGATGTTTAATCTAGGGGCCTTAATAATTAGAATAAGGTTTTGGAGCCCACTGTACTGGAATTATAACCTGGACGGCTGCGAAAACATGCTTGGGTTTAGGGTTTAGGGATTTAGGGTTTAGAGTTTGTGAGGTTAGGGGTTTAGGGCTTGGTTTAGGGTGTCAGGGTCCGTTTGATAAGGGCTTGCATAATGTAGGAGCCTCAATAATTAGAATAAGGTTTTGGGGCCCATTGTACTGTAGTTCTAATAAGGAACCCCCAGAATAGTATTGGTAATAACTTCGGCCCCTATATTAGCAATCATGGTAGCAATATCATAGGGTTTAGGGCGTAGGGCCTAGGTGTGGAGGGTTTAGGGCCCAGAGGTTTAGGGCTTAGGGGTTTAGGGGTTAGGGTTTAGGGGTGATATGGCCGGCTGAAACGTAGTAACAATGGTGATACTCTCTTCTTCAATAGCCGGCGGTACTAACCGGGACCAAAACTGTTCAGATTCAGGTTGCCGACTTGTGCCACATCCTAGGGGGACTAGAGGCAAACCTTTAAGATATATATGTACCGATATATATATATATATATATATATACATATATATATATATATGGAATTATATACCTCAACAAGGATAAAGATTACCTTCTCTACTGCAGGGAGGCCATACGGTTCTAGAATTACAGTATACTGGTAACACTCACTTCTTCAATACCCGAGCCCAGCAAAAGTTCAAGCCTTCTAAGATGGACCTGAAATATACAGCTAAAGCATTTAAAGTTCTCCCATTGGCTATCTAAGAATAAGACCATGCGGGTATCGTATCACAGCATACTGATAATACTACAAATAGTAGTCAGAATGCTCATACTTGGTAGTAGCGGGTTTACGGTTTAGGGCCAACCATGGCAGAAGAAACAAAAAAGCAAATACAACAGTAAGAGTAACTTCTTTTCACCAATCCTCCACTGTTCAATACAGCTTGCTGCTCGCAAAACTCACTTGCCACGAGCCTCGTCTTTCGCCCTCTTCTTCTCCTTCTTGTCCTTCTTGTCTTTTTTGTCCTTCTTGTGTTTTTTCTCCTGGCGAAGAGCTTAGGCTACTGTGTTGAGAATTTCGTGGATGAGATACCGAGTCGCACCAGACATCCAGAGCAGCATCGTCTGCTCCGAAGCTCATGACATGCCTTGCCTTCTTTTCTTTCTTCTGCCTTCGTGTCATGGGTTCATCCGGGGTCGGACAGGCAGGCTCGGATTGAACTGCTGAACTCTAAGAACTCCGACGACCTACTGTTTCAGCCAAGAAGCTTCTTCTCCTTCTTCTCCTTTCCGGATGAAAAGCTGTCTTCAGCACCTGAGCTGAGCGCTGCACGCAAGTGTCAGTCATGTTCTTCTATGGAAAGAGGAAGACCTAAATATCAGCATTATTTCCTCGAGTTCCTTATTGTAGATATCTATCATATACCCCCAAAACCCTATTCTAATAGGCGCTTACAGACACGACATACAGCCGCGGATTCTTCTACATGAGGGCCCTTCTCAACGTGTCTCTGAGACATTAGATACTGTAAGGGTCTTAGTGAATAGAATATGGTTTTGGGTGCTTTGTAGTATACTTATAACAATATGGAGCCCTAAGAAAGAATGTTGGGAACTATCTAGGCTTCTATATTCGTGTAAAAGAAGGTGCCGCGCAGACAACTCTGGCTTCCGAGCCCTAGAAAAGCCATGGGTTTAGGGTTTAGGGT